GGGCTAGAGTGCTGTGGCGTCAGACTAGCTGACAGCAACCTGAAGCTCCTGGGCTCAAGCAATCCTCCTGCCTCAGCCTCCCAAGTAGCTGGGACTACAGCTGTACCACCACACCTGGCTAATTTTTACTATTTTTAGTAGAGACGGGGTCTCACTGTTGCTCAGGCCGGTCTTGCATTCTTGACCTCAAGCAATCCTCCTGCCTCGGCCTCCCAGAGTGCTAGGATTACAGGCGTGAACCACTGCACCCAGCCCCATTAACTATGCTTATTGGACATTTGCAGTGTCCTTTCTGAAACTGCCTGTTCGTGTCCTTGTTCATTTTTCTTTTATAAAATATTGAAGTATAAATTATATACCATAAAATTCCTTTTCATATGTACAAATTCAGTGATTTTTTTAGTAGCTTTACATTGTTGTGCAACCCATCACCACAATCCAATTTTAGAACATTTCCATCACTCCAAAAAGAAACTTTGTCCATTTGTAGTCAGTCCGCATTTCCATCCTGATACCCAGGCAACCACTAATCTACTTTCTGTCTCCATAGATTAGCCCCTTCTGGACATTTCATATAAAAGTAATCTTTTGCGTCTGGCTTTTTCCGCTTAGCATAATGTTTTTGAGTTTCATCCATGTTGTAGCATACATCAGATATTTCTTCCTTTTTATTGCTAAAAGTATCCATTGTATGGATATACCACATTTTGTTTATTCATTCATCTGTTGATGGACATTTGGATTATTTTCAGTTTTTGGATTTTATGAATAATACTGCTATGAACATTTGTATACAAGTCTTTGGACGTGTTTTCATGTCTTGTTTAGCTAGTTAGCAGTGTAATTGCTTGGTTATATGGTAAATTTATGTTTAACTTCTTAAGAAATGACCAAACTGTTTTCCAAAGTGACTGTACCATTTTACATTCCTACCAGCAATGTATGAGAGTTTTAATTTCTCCACATCTTGTCTAATGATTGGTATTGTCTGTTTTTTTGGGTGTAGCCATCCTAGTGAGTGTAAAGTGGTATCTCATTGTGGTTTTAATTTGCATTTCCCTATCTTTGGTGAAATTTCTATTCAAATCTCGTGTCCATTTTAAAATTGTTTTCTTATTATTGAGTTATATTAGTTCTTTATAT